GGAGTTGGGGCGGGGACTTTGGGAAAGGGGCGGCAGTTCGGGTGGGGCCGGGGAGGGGAAGGAGGCGGAGTTGGGGCGGGGACTTTGGGAAAGGGGCGGCAGTTCGGGTGGGGCCGGGGAGGGGAAGGAGGCGGAGTTGGGGCGGGGCCCCTTGGAGTGTCCTCTTTTTGTTATTTTAAAATATGGTAACCCTAATACAGCAGAACAACATGTTCCCTGCCATCAGAATGGCTGGTATAAAAAGAACATACAACATAGCTTGCTTACTGGGTTCAGTAGCTGGCAGCACATGGAAGAAGTTTCAGTGCTTGCTCATGCTCTCACATGATGCTTTCACAACACTGATGAATGTCTCACTGAAAGCAACCACTAATTTTCTGTCACCCCTTTTTGACCCGAGTGACTAGTCAAAGTTCCGGGCCTTGGGGATGTTCCAGCTGGGAGTAGAAATTGATGATGGAGTTTGGTATTTTCTTGGATACAATCTTGTTTATCTGCAAGGAATGTACAAGGTTCTGCTTCTTCAAACTCAGGCCTTTTTAGCCAGCATCAGACCCCAAAAAGCTCTCTCTCTAGCTTCTTCTAGGGCCATGCCATGCTTACAGACTTCTGCTTGGATTTCTTCAGGCTCACTCCATTGCATACATGGCCTTATCCAAAACAAAATTCAGCCCAAAGCCCTCCCCCAACACCATCCAAAACTTCTGGGCAGTGTCACATAATCCTTTTGTTTTATATGGGGGTATGTGATTAATTTAGCCTTGTACTTATGTTAATTGATGGATGGGATGCATCCTTCAATCTCAATGAGGTTTTAATTCAACCCCTAACGAGGTTTCACCCAGCTCACAACATTTCCATCCCATGTCTCTTGGAGATTTGAGAATGTGGATAGTTGAGTACCTGTTGGGGAGGATTGCCTCTTATTCTCTCTTTTTGGTATCAGTGTCCATTTATGTAGGTGTTGATACTATTCTCATCTGGTTGCCAGGTGTACACACCCTCAGGAATTAAATAAATAATATAAAGTAAATCCATCTCTGAGCTGGGCTGTAATTGGATCTTTAATTGGGCTGTAATTAGATACATATTTCTAATAGCTCAGCCTTCAGTGGTGGTTGGATCCTCAGTTTGGTTAAACCACTTAAAAAGATAGGAGCCATATGGAAAATTCATACTTGAATTGGGATTTTGAACAGCCCCAGTGTTTGGGGATGTACAGGCTGTTTGGTTCAGGGCCCATCAGTAGTTCTGGATGGTACAAGTAATTTTCTCATTTGAAATAAATGTGTTGGAGTAGGTGACTTTCCTAGTCGGATTCAGGGCTTATAAACTCCTCCCGTTGAAGCTGGTGGCAGTAAAGCTATTGATTTCAATGGGAGCAGGAATGCTATCCACAGATCTGTGCAGAACTTGGCAGTTTTCATTTACAAGGCTGTAACAGGGTCAGGTGCCTCCTGCTCATGGACAGAGGTAGCTTTGCAGTTACCAGCCTCGATTTTCATTCTTGGGCTTCCCTGCAGGAGCCTCATTCACTGTGGCTCCTGGTGCTCTTATAGGGGAATCACCTGATGTCTGTCAGGAATGCCTCTTCAGTAGTCAGGCTTGGCTGGCCCCAGGCCTCTAGGTCTTAAAGGGCCAAGCCGCCCTGTTACAAGGGAACATTGTGGGACAGATTCACCAGTACTCTCTGGCTGCTTTACATCATTCTAGTAATGCAAAGCAGCCATAAACCCTGCTAACCCTGATCAAAGGAACATCCCAAAATAGTTGGAGCAAACTGGAGAATCTGGCCCCTGTGTTTGGTTTTGATGCCTGTGCTTTTGCATCACTTGAGTTCTGTTTTGAGTTCTACATTTGTGCAGCCTGCAAAGCTCAGAGAATACTGTTGTGTTTCAGCTCATATCACACTGAAACCATGAAAAACTGTGAAATACTCCATAAACCACCCCCCACCCCAGAATTCATCTGAAACCAGGTTCTAGTTCACTGCAATAGTTCATAATCTCAACCTTATGAATCCAGATAAGTGACGTGGTGCTTTGTTGTGAAAACACCGTTCTAGCTGCCAGCTCCTCTTCTTTTGCTCGTTTGTAGACATTGAATGCCTGATTTTCACAGGTGCTGGCCTCTCACTACTCCAGGGGAAGGTAAAAGGGGCTGTGGGTTCTCAACTCCTCTGAAAACCAGGTCCGTAACATACTGCTTTCTTTTAAAATGTTTTAAATAACATGTTATATTTAATTGCATAACCAACTCTGCCCACCTTACTCACCTGCCCTGTTAAGTAGATGGGGATTACTCATGTGAGTAAGATAAGCGGGCTCTGACCCATTATAGTGACCTAGTTTTAATTTACCAGAATTTAATATTGCGGAGGTAATTTTTGTCTCTCTTTAGGGTGCCTTTTGGACCCTGGCATTTATACTATCCAACCCTTCTGTTTACAAGAACATCATGGAGGACATAGGTTCTGTTTATGGCAAAGCAGGTAATAAACCAGAAATAAGTGACTGCAGTGGTATGGTATAGAAAGTAAAACCACAGTTAACATACGACCAAAACCCTCACTCAGTTTTTGCTCTGTCGTTACTCAGCCTGATCCCACTGAAGTCCATGCGTGTTTGGCCACTGGCTTTTTGGAGAGTTTGTCTGAATAAGGTGTTGAGGCCCAGATCCTGAAAAGTCTTTAGGTGCCTCACTTTCCTTAATTTGAATGGGAGTGAGGCACCTTAATACTTCTCAGGATCTGGGCCTAAGTAAAATCAGGGTAATTATTTCTGGATTTAGCCTCTACTGATTTGGCCTTTATATTTGTGTAATATCTTCAACTAAGGGCTTGTCTATACCACCTGCTGGATCGGCGGGCAGCGATCGATCCAGCAGGGGTTGATTTATTGCGTCTAGTCCAGACACGATAAATCGACCGCTGAGTGCTCTCCCATCGACTCCGGTACTCCAGCGGAGCGAGAGGTGGAGTCAACGGGAGAGCGTCAGCTGTTGACTCGCCGCAGTGAAGACACCGTGGTGAGTAGATCTAAGTACATCGACTTCTGCTATGTTATCCACGTAGCTGAAGTTGCGTAACTTAGATCGACCACCCTTCTCTCAAGTGTAGACCAGGCCTAAATGACATTTCTTTCATGTGTGCTGTTCCATGACTTTTCCATGGGCTTTTAGGGATTTCTGTGAGGTTCAGCCTTTCTGAAGTTAATAGGACCCTTGTGGTACTAAACTCAAACAAGTAAATGGGATAGCCACAGTGGGTCATTATTACTGGTTTGGGCCAGGTACCCCAATGCAAAGTGATCTCAGCACCAAGGTGAAATATCCCTTCTCCCCACCATGAGTACAAAGTGGGTTCAAATCCCTCCCATTATGATTTGAAATTTTCTAAATTGAAAGGGGGTGACATATTACTATTGTCTATCTGTGTCATGCCATCTTGTTTCAACAGGGGAAGCTAGGATTGAAGTCTTTGAAGATGACCTTAAGAAACTCTCATCAATTAAGCAGTGTGTTTTGGAAGCCTTACGGCTAACAGCCCCAGGTTCAATCATAAGGAAAGCAATGAAGCCACTAAAAGTTCAGGTGTTGTATTATTTTAAATGGAGATTGTATTTTCTTGTAAATCTTCTGGAAATAGATGTCACCAGTTCATTCAACTTGTCAAGCCCATTATTTAGCACTCTGCTGTAGTTACCAAAAAATAAAATAAAATAAAAAAATCTAACAATAAAAATGGGTCATGGTGAAACAATCCAAAAATTTGTATTTGTTTTGACCTGACTCAAAATTTTTTTCAAACGTTTCAATTTGCTGAACGCAAGACCAGCCATACTAGGTCAGACCAATGGCCCATCTAGCCCAGTATCCGGCCTTTCGACAGTGGCCAATGCCAGATGCTTCAGAGAGAATTAACAGAATGGGGCAATTATTAAGTGATCCTCCCCGGTCCCAGAATCTGGCAGTTAGAGGCTTAGGGACACCCTGACCATCTTCGCTAATAGCCATTGATGGACCTATCCTCCCTGACTAATCTAATTCTTTTTTGAATCCATTTATACTTTTGGCCTTCACAACATCCCCTGACAACAAGTTCCATAGGTTGACTGTACATTGTGTGGTGAAGTTCTTCCTTTTGTTTGTTTTAAACCTGCTGCCTGTTCATTTTGTTGGGTGACCCTGGTTCTTGTGTTATGTGAAGGGGTAAATAACACTTCCATATTCACTTTCTCCACACCATTCATGATTTTAGAGCCCTCAATCATACCCCCCCCCTTAGTCATCCATTTTCTAAGATGACCAGTCCTAGTCTTAATCTCTCCTCATATGGAAACTGTTGCATACCCGTAATCATTTTTGTTGATTCTCTGTACCTTTTTCCAATTCTAATATATCTTTTTTGAGATGGGGCAACTAGAACTGCAGGCAGTATTCAAGATGTGGGCATACCATGGCTTTAGATAGTGGCATTATGATAGATAATAAGATAGAAACTATCCCTTTCCTAATGGTTCCTAACATTGTTAGCTTTTTTGACTGCTGCTGCACATGGAGCGGATGTTGTCAGAGAAGTATCCACAATGACCCCTAGATCTCTTTCTTGAGTGTTAACAGCTTAGACCCCATCATTTTATATGTATAGTTGGGATTATGTTTTCCAATGTGCATTACTTTGCATTTATCAAAATTGAATTTCATCTGTCCTGTTGTTTCCTAGTTTTTCAAAAAAGTTCCCCCAAAATTTTTTGGAATTGCCAGCAAATGGAAAAAACCCTTATTCGCCCAGCTCTAATTACGGTAGCATGTAGGCATGCCAATCAAGGATCCCATTGTGTGAAGTGCTGTCACTTGACAAGTGCAAACAAGATGGCCCCGAGATGCACACATTCTATATTTTTCATATTCATTATATCCTCAGATCTAGTCCATGCTTCCTACCCAGCATCAGCTTAATTGTTCAGGTGAGTCAGCTATTTAAAGGAGAGCACGTTGATGGTATTATTATTTATATAGCACGCCATGGGCCTGAGATTCTGTACAGTGGTAAAGTGCGGAAACTGCCTTCAAGAGTTTACAGTCTACTCGTAAAAGTATATAAAACCGTGAATATACATTCGTGATGAAAATACTGGACACATTTCAAAAGACACAGGAGGATGCATGAATTATTTGTCCACTTTTCCTTAAGTCAAGGAGGTCTTTAAAAAAAATCGCCTTGTTTTTAATTAGTCACTTAAGACAGTGGTGTCTCCTGTCGGCAACGCTTCAGTCCTAAAAGAAGTGCCAGAACACACTTCTGGTATTTCCAGTAAGTGATAGTACTGCAATACTGTTACAGCCCCCCCAAAAAAGTGCCAGAATGGCATTCGGGAGCATTCCAGCAGGACTTGAGCCCTATCTGCAAGTAGTCTTTAGTCCACACTTCACTATAGTAACACTAACAAGAACACGTATGGTTGATCCCGCTGCCACTGAAGTCAATGAGAGTTTTGCCATTGGCTTCAGTGGGAGCAAGATGAAATATTCTACACATCATCCCAGGATTTCCCTCCCTTGCACAATTTTTATTAGACAAGACGTTCTGGTAGCCCATTGGGCTTGCAGTTATGTATTCCTTTGCTGAAGCTTTTTGTTTCTCATTTAGAATTTTGTCATTCCACCTGGTGACTTGCTGATGGCATCGCCTTATTGGTTGCACAGGAATCCAAAATATTTCCCTGAGCCTGAAATATTTAAGCCTGTAAGTTGTTTCTTTTGAGACATGTATTTTGCTCTGTTTTGCCCTGGGCTGGACAGATGGAGCCATGTGAAGGGCTGAAAGGCCAGCAAACAGTGGTAAAGTGTGCAAACTCCCTGGAAGAGCCTCCAGTCTCAGTATAAAACTGAATAGATATTGCCTGTTCATGAAGAAAAATACTGCAATACCCCCATAATTCATTGGTCAGACCTTGCTACCACCCCTCCCTCTCCTCTTGTGAGAGGGAACTGGAATTCATAACAGATTGAAAATAAACCCCAGCAACGATAGTTTCATATGCAAGGATTAGCTGTGCAAGGTCATTTTTAGCTTGGAGAAATAAAGTTAAGCCTATTTATACAAGGCTTATTTGGAAAAAAAAATGGTTTTCTTCCCACAGGATCGTTGGGAAGAGGCAACGTTAAAGAAGAATGCTTTCTTGGACGGCTATTTGGCATTTGGAGGAGGAAAGCACCGGTGTCCAGGAAGGTCAGTGAAACAGCTGGGGTTTGTTTATTCCTAAATTCAGTGGAAAACAGCTCCACTGGAGGGGACTCCTCCTTTATCTCCAAAACATTCTCTTTTTGCACCAGTGATCAGTAGCATGCCATTTCTGGGGGTCTGTCCAAGGTCAGTCTATGAAAAGACTGTACACAAAGGAAGAGAGATTAGTTTTTTGATGGATGGAAAAGCAGCATAGAAGATCAGGAGATAGGGGTTCTGCAGAAGAGGAGTCAAAAGTCAGCCCAGCTCTGCTGTTCTCCCAGTGTCTTTTCATCAGTGGAAGGTTATTTCAAATACAGGATGTGCCAGTTTGAGCTCATGGCATTGGAGTGGCCATAAAACATCCTCTGCCCTTGGAGTAAGGAATAATGCACTAATCTAAGGGCTTTTCTTCATGGGAAAGTTTTACAGTTATGGTTTACCAGATTGAGTGTCCACAGGGGAGGTTATACTGGTATTAGGGGTGGCTTTTTTCAGTTTAGTTTAAAACCCTCCCCAAGCGACATAAACTAAACCAAAAACAGCCCTTTAATATGTGTCATTTGAAATGAACACCTAAGGTAACACTGAAAAAACTCCTCTGTTTAGAGCTTTAACTTTCTTATCCCTTCTGCCCTTTGTGCAGAAAAGGAAGTAGGATAAAAGATACCAGGAAAAAAGCATACAATAGAATATGATAATTATACAGAAAGAGTGCTAGGATCACGATGGATACGCTTTTTCTTTCTTTTTCTTTCAGATGGTTTGCTCTAATGGAGATTCATATGTTAGTTATTATACTCCTTTATAAATATCAGTTTACTCTTTTGGACCCAATGCCAAAGCAGGTAACATCTAACTGCATTTAACACTGTCAGTATCTGGATTTATTTTCTTTAAACACTTAAATCTTGTACCCTCAGAGCTTATCTACATGCAAAAGTTGCACTGCTATACCAGCATAGTGAAAGCAGTGTAGCCACCCCATAGCATAGATGCAGTTATACCAATATAGCTTATTCCATAGAGGGAGGAGAATAAACTATACTGGTATTGGGCACTTTTATGCTCGTATAACTGTGTCCACTATGGGTAGTACCAGTATAACTATATAATAATAATAATATAATAAAAAAATCACATCCTTACCCAAAATAGTGAGGTTACTACACAATGTGTAGACCAGGCCTCAGTTGGAATGTTTATCATTTTGTAAAAAAAGAATTATAAACAAAACACATAAGGCCAAATCCTGCAGCCTGAGTACCCCCTGAGGGTGAGTTAGTAGGACAGGCTGGCCCATTCCCACACTCCTTTATGCAGACAATCTGGTTCTGTCTGGACTAACCGGCCAGCTTCCTGACCCATCCACATTCCCCTTCACAGTGTGCAACTTCTCCACAGCCTTACCCTTCCACTCAGTGTCAACACCCCTGTGGCCTTTTTGGAGCATGGGTGCCAGGCCTGCACAGGCTTTGTCTGATAGCAAGGGATCTAGCCAGCTAGATGCTTGAAGCAATGTGGCATTCAAGTGTAATTGCTAACTGCTGTCCCATGCCAAACCTCTTAAGGTTCTCAGTAGTGCAGCACATGTACCATGATCTGGGGGGCAGGTGTAGAAGGCACTTCAGTGGCCTCAAGGTCCCAGGAACACCACCACCTAGCCCTTTTCATAAGTAGATCTCAATGCACTTTGCAAAGGATGTCAGTATCACTATCCCCATTTAACAGATGTGGAAGCTAAGACACAGAGGTGAAACAACTTGCCCAAGGACACCAGTGGGAGATCTGGGAATAGAACCCAGATCTCCTGAATCCCAGTCCATTGCACTATCCCCTAGGCCACACTGCCTCCCACCTACTAAACACCTAGACGCACCTTTAAGTGAAGGGACATTTATCAGGGCTGGCAGAAAAGGGAAGGGTTGCAAATACCCTAGGCACGCAGTGACTTAAAAAGTTACATTTCAGGGTAAAACATTCCTAGTCTGGCCCCTGGGGGTATCCAGTCCAGGGTTAGGCCTATTGTCTGGGATGTCCTCTCCCTCCTCTGCTGCCTAGTCACCCTGCAGCTGCTGTCCTGCCCCAGAGCAAGGAGATTTCCTGGGGCAGAGTCTTTCAAAGAGTTTCTCCTCTGTTGGCCAGGGGAGGAGGATGTGCCCAAGCTGGAAGGTCAGCAGGGAGGGGTTTGATGGGAATTCATCACACAAGTCTTTAATGAGGCCTTTAGAAGGAAAATTTTCATCTGACCCTATTTACAGTAAGGAAACAAACTTGTGTAGGCCAGAGATGGATTTGGATTTAAAAATCAGTGTCAAACCTTGTTATGGGGAACTGTTAACATGTTCCTCAAAACGCTGCACTGTCAGACTGTGGTTATAGAAACCAGAGACTAATGGCTAGATCTTCAAAGGTGTTAAGCACCCACAATTTCACACTAACTCCAGTGAAAATGGTGGGTGCTTGGCACCCCTGACTACCAGGCCTTTTTCATTGGTCATCCTAAATAGGGATTTCGGTGTCCAATTCTAAGACACCCAGGTTTGAAAATTCCGGCCTAAAGTGTTAGTCTTATTCTTCAAATGGTATCAGAGAACAGACACTAACCCTCAAAGTTAAGCTCAGTAAAGGCTCATGAACATAAATAACTTGCCAAACAAAACAGAGACTGTCAGTGTACTATATCTTCAAATTGTGATTGATAACAAAGGGCCCTGATCTCATGCTGGTTTTACATGTCCTCAGTGAAATTGCTCTTGATAAAATAACAGAGCAGAATCCATCCTAAGGGGACAGATTCTTACAGTGTAAGAGAGTAGATAGTGCACTGGACTGGCACTCTGGTGACCGTAGTTCTATTCCCAGTTTGCTCCTGGATAACCTTGGGCAAGTAACTTTCCTTTCTGTGCTTGTTTCCCTATCTGCCAAATGGGGATAATGATACAGACCTTCTTTGTAAATTGCTGAGACCTGCTGCTGAAAAGCACTATGTAAGAGCTAGGTATTATTATTAATTACACTAAGGCACCTTTACACCACTCCATGAAGTACTGTCAAATGTCATTTATTCCCACTTTATGGATCCTTTACACTGCTCTGACATTAATTTGTGTAAACTTAATCTGTATATATATTTACAGGTTTCTATTGCTTGTGATTTTCTACAGAGTCTTCTCCAGTTATCAAGGGTGTGTCACCCCGATGGACCATGCAGAGTGCAGTATAAACTCAGAGAATGAAAATTTTATTTTATTAACTTGGTTTCCTGTACCAGCCACCTCCAGAGTGATGGACCATTTGGCTTTTCTGATTTGGCATTTCTTCTGTTCCTTAATGAATTAAGTTTTAACACTTTTAATAGGAAAAGGTTCATATGCTGAGAATGCTCAGAGTCATATCTTCCAATGGTGTTAATTTATGTATCTCCATTGATGTCAGTTGCCTTCAGTGAAAGCTATGTAAGTTTACACCAGCTGAGGACCTGGTCTTTAGTATCTAACCGAAGAACAAATTATTGTGAATGGAATGTTTTTGTGAACAGATTAATAGATTCCAAGGTCAGAAGGAACTACTCTGATCATCTAGTCTGACTTCCCGTCTAAACGCAGGCCATAGAATTTCCCGGAAATACTTCCTGTTTGAACTACAGCATCTCTTTTAGAAAAACATCCCATCTTGATTTAAAAGTTGTCAATTATATAAGATTCCATCATGACCTTGGTACATTGTTCTAGTGATTCATTACCCTTATTGTTAAAAGGAAGGATATCTCAGTGGTTTGAGCATTGGCTTGCTAAACCCAGGGTTGTGAGTTTGAATCCTTAAGGGGGCCATTTAGGGATCTGGGGCAAAAATCTGTCTGGGGATTAGTCCTGCTTTGAGCAGGGTTGGACTAGATAACCTCCTGAGGTCCCGTCCAACCCTGATGTTCTATGAAATTTGCTTAACTTCAACTTCCAACCATAAGATCTATTATACCTCTGTCTGCTAGATTGACGAGCCCATTGTCAAATGTCTGTTCCCCATGTAGGTACTTATAGACTGATCAAGTCACCCCTTAACCTTCTCTTTCTCTGAACCCTCTCCATTTTATCAACATCCTTCTTCTTGAGTTATGGACATCAGAAATGACCACAGCATCCTAGCAGTGGTCACACCAGTACCAGATACAGGTGTAAAATAGCCTCTCTACTATTCAAGATTCCCCTGTTTATCCAACCCAGGATCACATTAGCCTTTTGACCATAGTGTCACACTGGGAGCTCACGTTCAGGTGATTATCCACCATGACCCCTAAAGCTTTTTCAGAATTACTGCTCCCCAGAATAGAGTCCCTCATCCTGTAAGCATGGCCTACATTCTTAGTTCATAAAAATATTACAGAAAATTCCCACTTTCGACACATACACATCTCTGAACAATCTGAAGGAATCACTCTATCACTTCGGCCTTGCTACTCATTGAGAGAAGAAACTGGTTTTCTCCCTGTGACATAGGAAATTGGCTAGATATTTGAGACATATAGCTACTAGGACTTCTGCCCTGAAATCAACACATTGAATGGAAGACCCTACAGAGATGAGGAAATCCCAATGACAGAAAATTAACACCTTGCTTCAGAGGCAGCTAAACTTGTGAACATGGCATGGCTGTGTCCAGAGAACGAACACAAGGGGTGCCTGATGTCTGTGTTAAGACAGTCAGGGCACATCCAGTAGGGCCCTGTGTGTAACTGAGAGACAAAGGAGACTGGGTGAGCAAGGATGGCTCAGAGAGCAGAGCATTATGACTCCCTGGCTTCCACCAACAGGAACCGTATCACAATCCTGCCTCTAATGCTAGGTCCCTTTGGGAATGTGAAGGTCTCGTCTCTGTAATGCACCTAGACAGAGACTGTATGCAACAGAGAATAGTGCAAAAATGACTTGTGACACAGTCATGGGGCACAGTACTCACTGCTTGTCTGGTACCTCCTCCTGGTCACTCTTGGGATTAGCTCTTGAGGCAGACACCCCTTCCCATGGTCACACGCTATCATACCTTCTCTCTCTAAGGTATGCAGCTCCTCTCTCATGCCAGGAACTGCAGAATCCTCTTCATGATTTAGCTCTCTGGCTAGGTCACTCAGCATGTTTCCCCCCTCCCAGGGTACAGTCCTTCAAATTCTCTGTCTCTCCCACTGTGACCCATTCACTGCCCCACTAGTGCCATTTCCCCAGTGGCAGATAGGGGAACTCAGGCCCGCCCTTTACTCCAGGTTCCAGGGACCCTCAACCCAGCAGTTCTAGGCAGGGCCAGCTCCAGGCACCAGCGAAGGAAGCAGGTGCCTGGGGCGGCCAATAGAAAGGGGCGGCACTCCGTCCGTTATTGGGACGGCACATCCGGCCGGTCCTTCAGCAACTCAGTCTTCGGCGGCAGTTCGGCGGCAGGTCCTTCACTCCATCTCGTCCTCGTCGGCAGCACTTCGGCAGCAGCTCAATCGGGTTTTTCTTTTTCACTTTTTTTTTTTCGCCGCTTGGGGCGGCAAAAAAGCTGGAGCCGGCCCTGGTTCTAGGCTTCCTCACCCAGCCCTCACTGCTCCTTCCCTGGACTGCTTGCTACCACTCCTGGCTCTGGGCGTACCAGCTCCAAACCCTCCTCCCAGGGAGGGCCTACAGCCTACATATCTCAGCAGCCACCCAGCATGCCTCCCTCTTCCCAGGGCAGGGAGTGATTGCCCTTTCCCAGCAGCAGCCCATCTGTGGCAGCTTCCTGGCTTGATAGGCCCCACCTGTTCCTGCACAGCTGAACCTGCTTGCAGTCAACACCTTGCTCCCTGAATCTCCTTCCAGATGCAGCCTGTAGAGTTAATAGGCCTACCTGGCCATCTTAACCCCTTCCAGTCCTGTGTGGGGTGGACACTGAATCACAGATACTTATTAACCAGATAGGACCATGATAAGTGCAATAGAAAAGCCCCTCCGGAAATTAATAATTTAGTGTTTTTAACACTGACTGACCCAGGTCGTTGGTGGGCAGGATCACACCGGGGACATCTGCAGCTAAATGCGTGAGTCTCTACTGCATGAGCTAAAAGCCAGGTGGCCCTTAGCTAAGGCTGTAGCAGACTCACTAATCTCTAAGTGGTCTCGGTGCCACTAGAGGGGACCGAGCACTACACCCAGGAGGTGTGTGGGATACATGTTCACAGCAGGTTCAAATACCTTTCCATGAGTACCATCCATCCTGTGCACTGAATGAGGCAGAGGTCCAATGGAAAAAATGTATGTGAACATGGAATTAAAGGTTGTATTATTATGCATATGCACAAGGGGGATGAAATAAGCTTGCACCGAAAACTTTAATTCTGGCACTTCCTCACTTTTGAGTGTTTGGGGAGAGGAGGAAGCATAAGTAGAAAAAATAGCCCATGAGAATGCCGCAGCCCCCATGTCTTTACTATCATTTCATCAAGCAGAATTCAGTAAAATATTTAGAATGGGTAATACTGAGGGCTTGTCTACACTACAGGGAAAATTTGATTTAAGCTATGGAATTTGAGTTACATGAATAGTGCAACTCAAATCAACATAGCTTAGATCTACTTACCACAGGGTCCACACTACACAATCTCTATGGTAGACAGTTTCCTGTCGACTCCCCCTACACTTCTCAATCTGGTGGGGTACAGGAGTCAACGGGAGAGTGATCCGCAGTTGATTTAGTGGGTCTTCGACCACCGATGCATCAATTGCCGCTCGACGATCCCCCTGTAAGTGTAGACAAGCCCTGAGAGACACAGTTTCACTATTCCTAACCACAGCATGAGAAAATACATGTAATTTATGAGTGTGAGGCTATTATCAGATTACAAATATGGAGTAAATTCCCTGAAGCCATTGGACTTATTCTTAATTTATGTTGTCTTAGCGTAGTTTAGAGCTCTCTCTACAATTTTGGATTCAGCAGTGAATGAGGTAGGTCAAATAGTAACCATTGATACTGTGGCACCTTCCCCTGGGGAAGGGGTTGCGACATTCCCCTGGTGTTATCTGCTCCGGTGATCTACTAGGTCACTCCAATCCTTGACTCTGGGAGCCAGCCTTACCCTGCTCTGCTGTGAGAACCCCCACTCCTGAGCTGTTCACACACAGCCTCTGGCATGCAAGCTGCTTGGATTGTGCAACCGAATGACACTAGCCAATATCTCCGGTCCCAGACACAACCCTAGGAACCTCCGTCTTGCAGTGTTCAGTTATGCCCGCCAGACACTGCAAGCTTATATGAGTTTGTCAATTTAACAAAGAAATTGATATGCTTGTTATCCCAAGGGGAGTTGACACACTTCAAACCAAATGCACTGTTTTAGGTAGAATAAACAAACAAATTTATTAACTACAAAAGATAAGTTTTAAGCGATTATAAGTCACAGCACAAGTTGGATTTGATCAAATGAAATAAAAGCAAAACGCATTCTAAGCTGATCCTAACACTTTCAGTGCCCTTGCAAACGTAGATGCTTCTCACCACAGGCTGGCTGGTTGCTCTTCAGCCAGGCTCTCCCCTTTGATCAGCGCTTCAGTTGCTTGGTGATGATGTCTGTAGACGGAGGTGGAAGAGAGAGAAGAAGAGCATGGCAAATTTCTCTCCCTTTTATCATGTTCTTTCTTCCCTCTTGACTTTACCTCATCGTAGTCCCTGACTGACCAAGGGAAAGGGAGTGACTCACTCAAGAGTCCAACAGATCCTTTGTTGCTGCCTAGGCCAATGTCCTTTGTTCCTGTGAGGCTGGGCTGGATTTGTCCCATACATGCCCTGATGAGGTGTGAACTGCCCCTCTGTTCCTGGAGAGTTTTGCCTGAGCTTGTTTTAAGCCATGAGGACACATTTTCAGCCTCATAACTCTATACATGAAATTACAACCTATAACATTACTATAAAAACAATGCGCAGTGCATCATGAGCCTTCTGAAGACACCAGACATGACAAACTTTGCATTGGATACCACACAATTGTATTATGAGGATGAACATGGGGGTTTAGGGTGTTCCCCTGAGATACAGAGTTTCACAGGGCTGTAACCCTGACTCAGGTCAGGTGACAGGAATCAGGAAATAAAGTACAATACCACTATCATGTGTCAGGTGCAGTATCCATTGACTCCAGTGACCACTTGTACATCAAGGGTCTGCTTCATGGGCAACAGGTGCAGTGAATGAGGCAGGGGTCCAACTCATTCATCAAAAACAATAACAATAAATGAAAATTGGGTTTCAAACAGTAATTTTATTGCAACCTTAGCTATGGCGCAAGTTTAATATAATTAAAGTATGTGTTAAAGGCACATTATTAGGTTGCAAAGTCAAGCACTTGTAATATAGGAAATGCTGGAAATGCAGCAAAGTATTTTCATTTATTCAGAGGTTTTTTTAAAGTTTTTTTCCCTACTTAAAACATTTCAATCAAATGTGACATACATTTGCAAATCATTTCAGTATCACCAAATCTGCCTCATTCAGTGTGCAAGTCGGAGCTTGTGCAGTGATTGGAGTTCTAGCATTAAAGTTGCTTGTAGAGAAAAATTTAACCCAGCTCGACACGCCGCTTTAATGCTAGAGCTCCAGGTATCCCATTCACTGCACAAGATCCAACTTGCACACTGAATGAGGCAGGAATGCTGCGGAACTAATAGGAACTTCTCTCCTGTCAAAAGTCTGTGATTGTGTAACTAAAAATGGGCTCGGCGTGCCTTTGCGCAGAGTTAAAGCTGGACAGGTTGCCTTAACCTCACTGCTGAGCACTTCACTTTGCAGTCTCAACATTCTTGTAACATCATTTAGTTTAAATAGAAAAATAATAAACCCCCAACTCCCTCGCAACCTCTGTGCCACTAGTTCATGGGCGTTCTTGGTCTCAGGGTCCGGTTCCCTAAGGTTATTTTCCTAAAGCTCCAATAGCTGCATCAGCAGAACCTTTGTGCAACTACAAATCTCACTGAAAACTGCTCTCAAGGCTAACTCTGTGCAATAGCATCACCGAGTGCTGCAGATGAGGCTTCTGGGAAATGTAGTTCATCAGCCACTTGTTATACACATACACACCCGGTTTGTTAGGAAGTTTCTTTGTATATATTTGTGATTGAGTAGCTCACAGCTGTTGAAATAAGTTTCTAACCCCTGCTTTGAAGATAGATAACAACAAACATTTGCAATCTGAGCCAATTTAAACTGTTGTAAATCTCTCACCCACTGATGAGAAAGCAATTCCCTCCCCCCCTTCCACAGTGGGCAGAACAACCCGGCTGTGTTTCTTGCCTGGGAATCTTGTCTCCATGGCAGTGATCAGCCAGTGGCATTGACAGGACGGATAGGCCTTATCATCTGTCCTGGACTGAGCCTGGGCAATCTTTCAAGCTGGGAACCGCAGCAGCCAGTTCAAAGCAGCAGGAGGAGCAGCTCCCCAGTCAGTGTGCAGGAAAATGGACGTAACTATGGCTGTTCTGTTGGCATTGGTTCTGGGACTTCTTATGGTCAAGTTTGCTTTGTTTCAGCCAAGAAACCCAAATTCCCCACCTTGCGTTAGTGGCTGGATCCCTTGGTTGGGAGCTGCATTTGAGTTTGGGAAAGCTCCCCTGGAGTTTATAGAACAAGCCAGAGTCAAGGTAAGAATTATAATAGGGTGCATGCATCTGTGTGTTGGGGGAGGGGGTGCCTGGGGCAGTATAGGGAGACAGATGAGGAACCTTTCTGCATTAAATGAATCCCTTACAACATTAAGAAGTTTTCTATCATTTTTATTGTAACTCAGAAGCCTCTGGCTGAAAAAGGTAATATTTGTGTCAACTGATTGGCAGGTTACCCTAGATACCTTGGATTTAATATTGCAATCACTGTTTTCACACAATAGTATCTGGGCACCTGATCGGGACAAACAATACATACAGCTTTTCTTCATCAGCTGGGTACTGACCTGGGTTCCACATGAGGGGAAACACGTTGTGAAGTGCATTGGGACTGTAAAAGTTTGTACGAGCTAATTGTATGAGGAGTTTTTTTATTTGCCTCCTTTTTTAGTCTTTAGGGTTCCTGTTTTCAAGCTGTTCTCTGCAACGACTTCTAGAAACTTGGTAGGGTTTGTGTCCCCTCTCCCTCAGCCCACCCCATGAAACCTGAGATTAAAACATAATCTCATGACTCCAGGAGCTGGAGCTTTAAGAAAAACACTAAATATCGCAAGACTTGCAATAAAATAAAACTGCAACAGTGTTAGTTCAGGATGAACCACACAACAAGTTCATACAACCTAGCTGAGCTGCAGAAAAATTCCCTGACCTCTGAGTGCATAATATTTCAACATTAGTGTTACATAATTGTAAATCTCTCCCTCAGATCTTATTATTACATCTAATGTAAATCAAAGGGCAATGTTAGAGCAGGTGCCTGCTGCCATCCGGAATGATTCATTTTGCAAAAGAGTTGTTTCCAAAACATTCACTTGGAGGACTGAAATTTTCCCATGGTTTATTTCTTGCTGCATGTGATTTCTTTTGCAGGAAGTTGGAGCAATATCCCTGTAGATACTTAAAGTTGAAGCTAGCGACTGGGCGTGGATTAGACCTCATTGAGGATTAATGATTTGGGTTGGAAAAAAAAGTTGTTTGAAATGAACAAAGGCAATTCAGACCAAGAAATTGCATTAGAAAATGTCTTTAACATTGAGCAGGAGTTGTCCTATTAGACTCATGGGCTTGATACTTATTTACCCCAAGGCCATTTTACTCCACTCTGGTATTGTAAAAGGGCCTTAACATGGGAATAAATTACATTTACACTTGGTTTAAGGCTCTTTTACACTGTTAGCATGGGGTAAAGCATCCTTCAGGTAAAGGAGAATCAGGCCCATTGGGACTACATTAAAGTTAAGCATATGCATAAATCTTTGCAGGATCAGGGCCGTAGACACAATGTGCTGTGCATTCCTGCCCAACTTGCTAAAGGGCTACTGGTAAAAAAAAAATCTGGAATAAAAGTCATGAAAATTTAGTTCAAGTTTTTCACTTTTATTGAAATTCAAAGCTATGATGCAAACTTTCAGTTGAAAAATTGAATTTTGGAAAAGGTCTACTGTCAATTTTCAGATACTGCCCCTGCCAATTTCTATATTTCATAAGCACATATTTTTTTATTTGTTTTAAATTGGAAAAACCCACAAAAATAGGATTGTCATCTGTCCAGGTTTTCCCAGGATTGTCCTTTTTTTGAAGTAACTGTCCCTGGAAATCTGTAAGGGTGCTCAGTATAGTTTTAGGGGCTCAGGATCATCCCAAATGGCCCAGTTTTTTGTACCTCACAGTGGCAACCTTACACACAAGCAATAGGGGAAATTGACTATACCAAGGAAACAATGAAACTGACTACCCCAAGGGCTGTCAAATGCACAAACTAATAAATAGAGAAATATCCTTTTCTTCTCTACTCTCTTCCAGTTAGAGTGATCTTGGGTGTTATTTGTAACAACACTACATATAAAAAGTGTAGACAGATTTGTAAATTGTCAATGTCTTCATAATTACTTATTTAGATTTAAAAAATGATGAAGATGCCTACACATAGCTCTAGCTGCCTTAGAAATAGTATAGCATAACCCCAGCAGCATTCAAACAAGGATTCTGCCAGACAGACACTTAGAGACTTGTTTTGACCCCTTCATCCATCAGCGCTGACTCAATAGAGGCTCCAGGGCTGGAGCACCCACAGAAAAATATTAGTGGGTGCTTAGCAACCACAGGCAGCCAAGTCGTCCCCCCCCCCCGCTCCCCAAAATCGCTTCCTGCCCGCCAGCGGCCTCACCGACCAATTCCTCCCCTTCCCTCCCAGCGCTCCCTGCATGCCACAGAACAGCTGTTCTGTGGTGTGCAGGAGGCGTTGGGAGGGAGAGGGAGGAGTGGGGACAGGGTGGGCTCGGGGGGCGGGGTAGGAAAAGGCTAGGCAGGGGTAGGGGCTTGGAGGAAGGGGTGGAGTTGGGGCAGGCCTGGGGCGGAGGAGGGGGGTGTCCCCACCTCCACTGCCGCACATGGAGAGGAAGTGGGCGCCTATGTCTTCATCATTCTGGGAAATATCCCTCAGCCCTTTCCAGAAACCCTATCAAACAGATGTCTATTGCACAGGGCCGGCTCCAGGGTTTGGGCCGCCTCAAACAAACAAAAAAGCCGCGATCGTGATCTGCGGCGGCAATTTGGCGGGAGGTCCTTCGCTCCCAGGCGGAGTGAGGGACCATCCGCCGAATTGCCGCCGAATACCTGGACGTGCCGGCCCTCTCCTTGACAAGCTGGTGCCTGGAGCCGGCCTTGCTATTGCAGCATGCCTGGAAGATCACCAACTTAATCAGGCTATTTCAGATCAAGGGAGAGAGAGCAAGTTCCAGAGTCCTGAGTGCCCTGCCACTATCCCCCCTCTGTTATAATGGTAGGGAGTGCATTCCCCTGGTAACTTCACTAAAAGTTTTGGGGGGAGGGATAACTCAGTGGTTTGCACATTGGCTTGCTAAACCCAGGGTTGTGAGTTCAATCCTTAAGGGGGCCATTTAGGGATCTGGGGCAAAAATCTGTCTGGGGATTGGTCCTGCTTTGAGAAGAGGGTTGGACTATATGACCTTCTGAGGTCCCTTCTCACCCTGATATTCTATGATCATAACTGTGGTAGTATGGCATAGGAAGACATACCGTCTCTGGTAGGCAAGTTCTAGGCCATTTAGACCTATCTAGGTCAGAACCTTTAAATGCATTATTAGGTGCACACTGGTTTAAAGAATGTACAATTTCTGCAGAGACAAGGTGGGTGAGGTAATATCTTATATTGGTCCAACTTCTGTTGGTGAGAGACATAAGCTTCCAAATTACACAGAGCTATTCTTCCTGTCCTGTTGGGTTCTGGGAAGTGGGTGGATACAAGCGCATCCCATCCCACCCCCCATGGCTAACGGCCTCTTGCCCAGCCTAAGGAGAGGAGCCACTTAGTCCGGGACTCAAATAGATACAGGGGAGAACAGAAGAAAAAACAAGGGCAGATGTGAGGATCAAAGAGTCAAAAATAAGGAACCTGAAAGGGACACTGCAGAGAACCTCAGACAGCACCTACTGCTCCTCGAAGCTGTCAAGGGAGCCAGCAGACATGGTCCAGAGGAACTCTGCCTGGATAAAGAACAGGAGTACTTGTGGCACCTTAGAGACTAACAAATTTATTAGAACATCTAATAAATGTGTTAGTCTCTAAGGTGCCACAAGTACTCCTGTTCTTTTTGCGGCTACAGACTAACACGGCTGCTACTCTGAAATCTGCCTGGATACCTGAGCAGAGAGAGGAACAGAAACAGGCCCCACAGTCTCAGAGAACTCCTTTGGCTAACATCCTCTCCCTGCCAGGGGAAGGTACTAATAGCATCACAGCTAAACACAAGATCAAACAGATAGTTTAGCACAAGTAGTTAGCACATGTTCTAATCTGAGGGATCATTCAAGGTGGAGTGGCCCATTAACACCCTGTAGTCATAGGACAAAAAGGAAGGTCAATTGGCTACTGATTGTTGTAATAAGCCATAAATCCAGTGCCTTTATGAAGACCATGATTTTTAGGGCTAATCTACACTGGCAGCGCTAAAGCGCTGCTGCGGCTTGTGTGATCGCAGTGCAACCACCTCCACGAGGGGAGTAGCTCCCAGCACTGGAGCACTGTTTACACTGGTGCTTTATAGCACTGAAACTTACAGCGCTCAGGGAGGTGTTTTTTCATACCCCGTGAGAGAGAGAAAGTTGCAGCGCTGTAAAGTAACAGTGTAGACAAGCCCTTAGTGTCTCACAAAGTTATGAATTTAAGCCACAGGCGCATCTTTTGAAAGTGTTTTGTACCTTCTGGCTCACCTCCCTCTCTGGGTTTGCCAGCTGCACAACTCCTTCCTCCCAGAGAGTAAACTGTAGGCTACCTGCCTCTATAATACCAAGCAGACCTCCCTTCTTACTGAGAATGACTACAGTCTACTTCCCTACAGTTCCTTTCTGCTCTCAGCTCCTGGGCTTTATACAGGCCCGCTCTGTTCCTGTCTACCTGAGTCACATATGATTAATCCCTGCTCCCTGGCTTCTCTTCCAGGTGCAGCCTGGGCAATTAATTGGCCTACCTAGCCACCTTAACCCCTTCAGATCTTGTGTGGGGTGGACACCCCATCACTCCATTAAAAGATATTACCTCACACAGACCTTGTCTCGCTAATATCCTGGGACCAAATGGCTACAACAACACTGCATACAGTTCTGCAGCTAAGCCAGGAGAGCTTGTATCCTGTGCAAGGTGAAACCAGTGGCTGGAGAGGAAGCTGCACATGTTCTACTTAGGGTCATCCTAGCAATCATGGTGTTAACTTTTGTGTGCTTGATCTTACAACCTTAATGTTGTCTAAATGCTCATCTTTCTGCACTGATTTGTAGCACAAGTCAAATTAACAAGCACTTCCTATCTTCAAAGTGTCTGAGCAAGCTCTGTAATTAAGCCTTTCTAAGGCCTGGTCTACACTACGAGTTTAGGTCGACTTTAGCAGTGTTAAATCGAATTAAGCCTGGACACGTTCACACGACGAAGCCCTTTCTTTCGACGTAAGGGGCCCTTTAAA